ARCATTATGCGAATGCATAAGTTATAAACAAGTATTAATGCACCTTATACAATAATCTTAAATGTGTGTTTTWAACAGTTCCAAATGAAGCACCAAATATTACATCCGCATATCCTAAAAGCTCTACGTCAATAAGAATYAGATGGACGACAATCTCGAAAATCAATCTCAATGGCGGTGCTCTGGAGGGATATGTGATTTTCTACAAGGAAACTAATGCCAAATTTAGTMAAAACATTCAACAAAAAATCCCATCTGATGAAACAGYAGCAACAATACATGGGTTGAAGAAATACACGCCATATACATTYCGTGTCCTTGCTTACACCGCAAGAGGGAAYGGAATAGCTAGCCAGCCTGTAGTTGTAACAACTGATGAAGACAGTATGTATTGTGAACCTTTAAAAACGTAACATTGGTTATAATGGGCTGRAAGCAAAGAAATATCTATTAATAATACGAAATGCGACTATCATATGTCTTCGCAACATATATATTTCATGAACCTATTGCCTTTTGCGAATATGATGCATATATCTTTCCAACTATTCTTAGGAATTTTTAAAAATGTGATATTTCTCTAACTTTAGAGGCATATAATAATAGCTTATAATGCTTATAATAATAGTCTTCKTCACGGTTACCTGCGYCATCTTGAAAGGTAGCCGTGCCTTTACATCGAAGCGAGACAGCCGTTGAGGGTGCAATGATAGATACCTGTGAATAATTGTCAGTAGGTGTGAAAGAAGGTTTYTATAATTGCACGCTCAACGSTCGTCTCRCTTCGATGCAAAGGCACGGCTACCTTTCAAGATGGCGCAGGAAACCGTGAAGAAGACTATTCTGTGTTGTRCGATCGTTGTCAGTTCCAATTGCTAAAAAATATTGATGACAAAGCAAGTAGAAAAAAGTATCTTATCGCTACTGATAACTTTAAGCTGTCTAGTAATTTAAGTCACCTATAATTATTTTCGAAATATATCTGTTTGTGCTTGTTTGTGGTAGTACCAAGTCTTCCTCCATCAAATTTTCAAGCCAAGCCTTTCTCATCGACGTCAGTCATGGTATCATGGGATAGCATACCRCTCAGCAACATCCATGGCATCTTAATCTCTTATACAGTGTATTATAGGACTCTTGATCAGAACTTTTTCACTAAAGCCACATTCAGTCCCAGACAGAAAGTAACAGATCTCAAGGGTCTTCACAAATTTACATATTATCTGATGTGTGTATCGGGATGTACGTCTAAGGGTTGTGGTGATCAGAGTCCTATCAGACAAGTCCGAACAATGGAAGATGGTATGATATAGCGTATAGATTTTATTGTGATATGTTGATTTGAACTCTGATACACACATAGCATTTCTAGTTTAGCTTAGGTCCTAGCCCACAATACATTTCTACTATATATATATATACCAAGACTGTCATGTGTTTTGTAGTTGTCATGTAGTTTTTAGCGCTTAGAACAGAATTGGATAAGCGCTATATAAATAGGATTATATTATATTATATTATAATATTATTATTATTATTATATATTATGTTTTATGAGGATGTCCCCATTACCGTGATCATTGTCTTTATTTTATTCGTATCAAATACTTTGTTATTCAGATTTCCATTCTTATTTTGTCAGATATAACTTCTTACTATACTGTCAACTAAACATTGGTAAAATACGAAAAGGATTACGAGAAGATTTATCATTTTACTWAGTGTATATTTCGGCTCTTAAAAGTTCAACGTTGAAGCATAATAAATATGAATGCGATTTTTATGATTTTTTTTCTYAAGTTCTATCACCGACTATATTTCCAGAATTGATACTTCAGGAGATCCAATTTTTTTTATAGCTACAATAATTATTTTATAAACACTTCGCTTAAATGAAAACCAATTAAACGCGGGTGTGCATGGGAGATTTTAATACAACCAATGATTTGCTTTGAATTATATCGAAAAATTGAGCAAGGAAATTGCAGTCAAATTGCAGTCATAAGCCAAACATACCTCTCAAAGCGTCATTAGGTTTATCCAATGGTAACTTTGAACTATCTATCTGATGCTGGTCACCAAAAATCAAAATATTTATTTTTAGTGCCCTCCAAGCCACCTCAAAACCTAATTGTAAAGACGCTATCATCAGTTACCAAACTTCCAGCTAAGTGGGCCCCAGTGCCTTACGGTCATGTCAATGGTATTTTGCTTGGTTACGTATTGAGATATACACTGGTGGAATGGAAGGGTGATGTTGTTGAAAACCGGGAAGAAAAAGAGAAATTATTGGGACCCAACCACTATTCCACGACATTGGAGGGTTTATTTGTTGACGGTGCCTATAAAGTGAGAATTGCCGCATTTACGGCTAAAGGGACAGGGACATTCAGTGTCTTTGATTACGGCGGTAAGTTAAATGAAACATTTATTTTTCTAACATCTATACGAGACTCTTTTCTTATATGCCTGTTCAACTTAGAATGATGCATCTTTCTATTCCATAAATATGCTCCAATTCTTTTGTAATGCTATTTCTCTAGAAACGTGCAGATGTCCCAAAGAACTGCACACYAATTAYTTTGTCCGCCCTCCTTACACACGAAAGCAGTCTGAAGGCATTGGGGGTCTCTTTCCAGAAATTGTCTTCAACATGGCTGAATGGGCGTGYGGTAAYTGCATTAATGGYCACGGTAGAACTATTATAAACACAAAGGACAATGGAAAAGGAGGGYCGGCCATGAAACTGGGATATGAAGCAATGCAGTACGATATAGATGATGTCCCAGAAATAAGTTTTCCAGTACCTGGAAACAAGTATATGACTAGCTACATGGGACTTTATAGCTACTTCTATCTGGTTGAGTCCCCTGGGATTGCATTCATAACGGTATCAGATCCTCCCATATCTATGTCTTACCTCGTTATGCAGTCGATTGTGGATTGTTTTCCGATGTTGTTTATCGCTGTGTGCCTGGCATACATCACGGGCATAGGGATGTGGATTATTGTAAGTATACACATTGTCTTGTAGATAGGGAATTAAAACCACATTGTCCTACCATGTCATCATCTTAAAAGTGTGATTTTAAGCACTTAATGATTTTAATCATAGAATTGAATTATCGTCAGTCATACTAAGGCGCGTCTTGGATTTGCTAACACCGAAGGGATCGAATTCAGAAAGTACTCAGAAATTCAAATATAAAATGTCAGTTATGATGCTACGTTTTAATGCAACAGAAAAGAGCATTACTCTAGGAGAAGGTCATTTTGCTGAGTGAAAGCAATCTTCTGTACACTGTTATAATTGTAATATTTGCATTCCCATACYCCTTTTCGGTTTTAGMTTTCGTGATGTAGACTTTTGGATTTAAACTTCGTTTTTTCAAATTACTGTAGGTATCTCGAGCCAGTKATAATTCTTGGTTACGCAAACACGTAACAAACTGCGTACGCAGTTCTCAATAGAATAATAGATGGGCTATTTAACTTTCCTCCTGTGCTAWTGTAYAGCTTARTGACAKGGATCATTGGTGCTAATTTGCTTTTTGCGGATTAATAATCGTGTATTCGGTGCATATCTATTTGTCTCATAGAAAACTCCTTTTTGCACATCTATTCGATGTATTTACTATTATGATATTATTATTACAGGAAATGAGATCCAACCCTGATCAATTCCCAGCACAGTTCACTAAAGGAGCCATGAGTGGGTTCTGGTGGTCATTCATAACCATGTCTACAGTTGGGTATGCATTGCTAATACTCATTCAAAATTCGTCTCGGTGAATATTRASGGATAATCCCTGTGGCTGAGGCGAATAATTGTTTTAGTGATTATAAAAGCGCACGGGGTCGAACGATTATTTTCTTCAATACTTGATGATATTCTCGCAATCTGATTGGTTGATTGATAGCTATTGCCAACAAGAGTTTATACAATACATAACTACGTCTGCAACTCTCAACTCGTCGAAATTAAAAAGAGCAGAAGGAGTCTTTTCGTCATGAGTAAGGACATTGTTTAGTACAAAACTCCAGCTAAAACACGTTTAAGGATTTAACATTACCGCAAATCCATTTCAAGTAGACAAGTATAATAACCACCAAGTTCTCATTGCATCAGTATTTCCATTTTTAGCTGGAGACGTGATGTCAAAAATGTACAAACTTTGAATTGAAACCACCCAGTACGCCATTTTGTTTGTCGAAATGATTATCGCCTGATAATCCTAGATAGCTAATCAATKCAAGGTGTACCTATACAAGTTTCAGAAAGAATGATTAATAATATATCGARTTACTTACATGTAACGATGGTACGGAGATCGATGACATTGTATAGAAACAATGGCTTACTTTCGGCACCTSCTGTTGGGTTGCTAGAAAAATATGCTATGAGCACGTGATGACCTCGTGTAGTACTTGCAGATTTACCTTYCATATGTGCATTGCACTTATAATTCGACCAATACTGTCATAGTACCGCTCATAGAAAATAAGATATTAAATATAACGACTTCCAAAACCCAGCCCTGGTCGTGGAAGACTATTAACAGTAAGCAATTTTTTATTTTTTTTATTTTATTAGCTTAAGATTAATACATAATTAGTACATAACATAAATAAATAACATGCAAACACAATAATGAGAAAGTGGCAGGGACACCGCAACAGCAGAGCCAATTACAGCGGGCCCAATTATGCCTTATGAAAGCTGCATCAAGACTATAGTAATAGCAATAACCATAAGATAGTTAAGGATAGTGATKTAGCTTTACCATTGCTTCTTCAGGTATGGAGATCGTGCCCCTGTAACAATAATAGGGAGGTTATTCGCAATAAGTTGGACACTTGGTGGACTTGTTGTTATCTCGATTGTTATCGGATCGATAAGCAGTGCATTATCAACCGTATCACTGGACAATTATATTCCACTATATGGAACAAAGGTRAATGATTCAATTTTTACGTAGATWTTTATCATCATGACTGCATAGTATTTGATAGTTAAGAAAAATTAAGATAATTCAATCATTGGAGTCTATCAAAGTAAAATAGAAGTCTTGGTGGATGTTTTACTGCAATCGGTTGACATCATGCATYAGTCAATGATCAGGTATCAAACCTGATGCATATGCCCATAAACACTCATTATTATAGTATTCTTTATATAAAGATACCTTATCGGATAAGGTATCTTTATATAAAGAATACTAATAATGAGTGTTTTATSATATATAAAGGTCCTTGTGACCAAATAGTCTCATTCTATTGGCCTAATAACTCTTTAATTGTGTATATTARATGTTTGAAATATATTGAAAAAAACAGATGAGTATTGTATATGTGCAGGTATATTATACTTCATTAYCTTTAGATAGCTGCATTTCACAAGTCTCCTGAACACCGGTATGGAGTCAAAAAGAGCGCAATAATGAATTCAGGTAATCCTTGTACACCTAATTGAGGAAACGTTGTCGGGTTCAAAAAGGTCAAATCATGGAAGCTAAGACCGAAAGGGTACTTGGGAAGACAAACAATTTGGCTAATTCATAACAAACAGCTCTCTAGCATAAAAGACTATCATGCCGTTTTAAAATATTACTAGCTCTACTTGCTTAGTGTACTACACCATATATGCAAATGTAGTCCCAATTTAGTGGTACACAAAATCCCTTTTGATCTTAGCTTCTATCATGTAACCTTTTCGAACACGACTACGTTTTTTCAATTAGGTGTATTCCAAGGCAAAAGCTAAGCACAACAAGAATCAATGAAAAAGGAATTGATGTATAAGACCAAACATTATCYATAAAATTTTATACGCACTGTTCTATTAATGTCAAAATCTTTGCAGTTTCCTTCAAATGAAAGCATGCGAGCCAATAAAAAGAGATAATAAAAGAATTATTGAGAAAGGATAAAACCGAAAAATAATCTTTCAGCTCAACTTTCAAATTATTGCTCACTGATGTTTTTAACTTTCAGAGAGAAAATATTTAAGTATAGAGGAAATCAAACAAGACTTACAAGACCGTAAAATCAAAGGAACACTTCTAGACACTTATGTTGCAGCAGAGAAAATAGATGATTTGCTGACTAAAGATATTCAAGTTAACAGATTGCTCGATACATCGTTTGGWTATGGTGTTGTGCTGTCTGGAAAAGCAATCCATCTGGAAAATCGCTGTAAAGATTACCTGCAAGAGAATCGTCGACAGATAACCCGTTTWATAGAAATGAATACGAAAGAAATTCAGGTAATTCGTTCATCAATAATACCAACAAAACACACTTATATTTCTGCAAATCGATAGGAATGTATGAGATGGGGGTAATGCATGACTTCTGAAGTAGTTCACGCGGAAATTAACTTGCATTTCATCGATAAATGCATGATAGTCAGATGACTAGTAGTGTATACTATGGAAGAATATCAATGCGATATATTTCGGCTCTCTAAGCGGCGTTTACACGAACAATTTTTCCTTGACAAGTTTCTTGACAAGGAAAAATTGTCCGTGTAAATGGTCAACAAGTTTTCCTCGACAATCCTTCTTTGCCACATTTTTCTTGTTGTCTATTTACACGAGCAAATTTCGTCCTTGGCAATTTTTCTTGTCAAGGAAAAGCGAACATGTTGGCTTGTCCATTTTACCCCATTTACACGAGAAATTTTTCCTTGTCAAGGAAAACTTGTCAAGGAAAAATTAAATTGCTCGTGTAAACGCCGCTTCATATTTCTCCTTGATTAATCTTGAGAAGTTAACCTACAACAGCATGTTAGTAGGAGAGTGATAATATAGCAAATGCGGCCAGATACTGCTGTTAGATGGCAAATGCACTTTATATAATATATGATATATGATTATTTATCATATAATTATCTATGAAATACCTATATTTCTCCATTTCGTAAATTTGATATTTTCACTAGTGAAAATAACACTTTCGAGGTTTCTCCCTATATTGGAAGTAAGAAAATAAGGTATTTTACGACATAATTTGCTTCCATATGTAATTATATGATAAACAGAATATTACATGGTCGCTTGGAGATACGAATTTTATCTTCTCGTGTTGAAAATCTCTCACTCGTTCGCTACGCTCACTCGTGAGAGATCTTTCCAACACTCGAAGATAAAATCCGTATCTCCGCGCGCCCATGTAATACCCTCTATTCATACTTGAATTTTAGGGACCTGCAGAGCCACCATCAGTACAGAAGAGCTCTGGATTGTTTGATATCAATTCACCATTACTACACTACGGCTTTATGGCAAGTGGTGCAGGCCTTGTGTTAGCTATTATTGCAGGACTTGTTTGGCAATATTCATGGAACAAGAAATCCCTGACATCAGCAGGTAATTGATTATCAATGATACATGTACTAGTAGCCCAATTTCAATATTTTGGGTAAGTGCTCATTAATAAAAAATAATCAGAATGCTCAATGAAAACAAAAGAATTATCTATTGTTTCCCCGCCGATCCTCGTCTTCTAGTGGACTATATTTTACTTGTTAAAGCCAATTCTGGGGTCCACGGTCACTCAGTGTCGCGTATAGTATGACAAAATGTGCAATGTTTTGGCTAGATGGTATCGGTGTGATCGGCGAAATCTTTTTGTTCACCGGAGAACAAGAACATCACAAGAAACAATTCAGGAAGTTTAGACTGGCAAATAATTATTTCCCGTAAAAATCCAAATAGATTTTCTCAAACTTAGAGATTAGTCTTCTTCTTCACAGATGATCTCTGATCTACAGCAATGTTCAGTGTTCAAGCCATTCTTATCATACTTTCATTCTGATTGATCCAAGACATCGAATGCTTTTTTCTATACACGACTTTCACAATGGCCGACACTAATTAGCATATTATTATAAATACTAAGTTTTGTTCCTTCTACGTGTGTTTTAATATTCCGAGCATATTATTGTTAAATTCATTATGTTGACAAAAGAACAGTCACTCAGATGATAGATATYAAAGCTAAAGATAAGATCTGAAAGTTTCAAAGAAAAATATCAAATCCTCTGGAATTTATAAGGGTTGGAAGATGTACAAAAACACCAAAACCAAGTTAGTAGAGGGGAACAGTTCCCCTCTACAAACTCTGCCAAAACGAGGCCACCAAGGCCTCAGTAAAGAATTCCATACCAATTCTTGTATTTTCATTCTTCCATAACTTSGTTAGTATTTATAGTTTATATCTTCAAAATTTTGCACAATTACTTATTTCTGATAGTTCTTCATTATGACGGTGCTGAATGTTTCCTTGATATTGTCAATCATATAAAATCGATAATAGGCAATTGTGAAAGTGGTCTATATCAAAAATGTTTAGTGATATTGAAGAACTGGCTTGTATAAAAAAGTTGACAGTCTTCCCCACACATTTTCTCTTTCAGATAAATACGCAATTAAAGAAAGAGAATCAATAATCCACGAATTTACATCRGTGTTCAGAGAATTCCAAGAAAATATGAATGATCTTAATGCCAAAAGAAGACGCATATTATTTAAGATACCTAGGACAAAGAGAAAACTATCAACAAATTTTAAATTCAAACTGCCATTTCGGGCAGAACAGTCTGATGAATATAGCTTTAACGAGAGTCTTCATACATCTCCACGAAAGGAAAATTTCCTTTCCTCAATTTAATTGAATGCTAAACGACGTCATGAAAAAAAAGCCATTAAATACAATAACTGTAATACACAGAGCAGATTTCGTATGACTGTGCAAAAAATACGGTACGCTCGTGCTGTGTCCGTACCGTGCCGTAGCCGTGATGCATTGGAAAAACCTTTACTTTCTTTTGAAATCCTAKAAGGCGAGGTTCCGTSACCGTGCCGTGTCGTGTCCGTGTTGTGATCCGTGCTTTTGCACAGTCATACGAAATCCGCTCTATAGTCAACGTCAGTTAAGAGCCTGGAGAGCAATAATGGATGTTTTAAGTAATTAAATTTTTTCTGTTTTTGTAAGGTATATTGAAGGGATGCAAAAGGATTCTAATCTTATAATTGACCTCATTTCAAGCCAACTTTTTTTTCCAAACCAAACTCTTTTATCTCAACAAATCGAGCAATGCATGCTAGTTATAGTCCTTTAATAAAATATTTAATTTTTATTATAATTTTGTTAGAGTAAAAGAAGTAAAGTCATGATATAGTTGACCACTGGTGAAAATTCCACTAGTAATTACTTTTTATTGCCAAATTGAATCTATTCAGGGCACTATTTGGTGCTTTTAAATTTTTT